AGACTTAAGTAAGTTTAGTATTGCTTGCTCAAAATGCAAGAACAACTTTTTATTTGATAACTGTTATTTTTACAGTCATCGTCAGCATCGACGCCATCATCGTCGTTGTCGTCGTCGTCATCATCATCATCATCATCATCATCAGTCACATGAATGTCTGTAGTCGTAAGTCTTATGAGCAGTTCCTTCCATATATCTCATTTAGATGCCAATGTTTAGGTTCCTGTAAAGGATCATCCAGACCACTCAGTGACGTTGCCAAACCATTGTCCTCCTTTGTCCCCAGTGTCCGTCTCTTTTTCTTTTCCCTAAGGTGGTACCTTTTATGATAATAGTGGGAAGATGGTCGGCTCTTATGATGTGGGCATAACATTTCAACTTCACTTTTCATTGCCTTAGTACATCAAAATCCTTCGCACTGGATTCCAATAGCGGAATGATATTGCAATGTCTTTATAGTTACAACTTTAACAGTGAATTCCTATAGTGAAATCATAATTATAACTAATTCACATTGTAAAACTCTTTTCAGTAATGATGATGATGATGATGATGATGATGATGATCAGGATCAAGATCAGGATCATGATCGTCATCAACTTCATTCTGTGGGTCACTATGCAGCTGAGCACCTGACCAGGTCCCTCCATATGTCTCTGTTGCGTGACAATATCTGTGAATGATCTTCTTGACCATTCAATGACTTTATCAGACCATTTTTCTTTTTACTTCGGCCTTCCTCTTCTTCTTTTGCCCGAGTTGGTGCCTTTTAAGATGATGGCGGGAAGATTGTTGCCTTTTTTATGACTTGGCCATACTCTTTCAACTTTCTCTTTTGAATTATTATTATGAAGACTTCCATTGGGTAAGTTTCTTTTCTGATAGGGTCTCGCACACAGTCCATTATGACGTGACTTATGTAGGAGACGCGTCGGAAGCACCTGCAGCGTAATATCAATGATGCTTGCAGTCTTCGCTGGGATTCTGCATTTGATGTTCAAGTTTCGCAGGCACACAAAAAGATTGAGATTGTCAATACACAAAAATGTCTGATATCTGATGTCAGGCGGTTGTTTTTTTTTCTTTAAATCCATTCATCCCAAGCAAGGTAATAACACCACCAGGACGTAGAAGGAACCAGAAACCCAAACATAAACAAGGGATGAATCTCTACTCCTATTAAAAAAAAACATGGAGGAGCGTGAAGTAAATGAAAATCTAACTTAACTAGTCCGATTGCAAAAAAAATAAATTTCAGAGTTTAGATGGAAACTTTAGAAGTATAATGTTGAAAAAGACTTTAGAAATGACCAGAAACAAAATCATAAACATGGAGTGAACTCCTACTCCTGTTCAAAAACCAGGGAAATGTTTGAACCGGGCAAAAGGCAATTCTATTTACTCTTATTGAGAAGAAATATTAAATAAAGTTTCAGGGTTTAGGCGGAAACGTTAGAAGCATAGAATTGAAGAAGACCTTAGAAGGGATCAGAAACACAATACTAAGCAGGAAATAAGAGATAAACCTTTACTTTATTTCAAAAGACAGGGAAGTAATGGGAACCAAACGATAGGCAAAACTATCATTTTTCAGATGGATCTTAGTTCAAAGCGGAAATTTCTCCAAAACCAAATATATTATATCTGGTGGATTATTTCTCAATCAAAACAGTATATTATCAGATATTATTTTGGGCACAAATCTACAGCATTGGAAAACTGATGTCTAAAAATACGAATATGTTGCCGACCAGAAATTATTACACGCCAATGAAATAAGTTTACTTTAAAACAATAGATGATTTTTTTTCTATTATTATTTGCCGTTCTGAAACGTAAGTATCAGTATATTTTCCCAAACAGTCACTGCAGTGTGTGTTTGCTTTCATATTGGGGGATCTGTCTCATCAATCACATTAGATAGACATAAGGGCTTATTGATTTCGTTTTTATACATTCCGTAAGTGGTCAAGTGGATTTAAATTTTAAGATTTTAAGAAAAAACCTTGGAAAACCATGTTCGAAACATGTTAGCGACCAGAAAGTTTTAAGGAAAATTAGGCACTTTTGGTTTCTATATAAAAGGTATATATGAAACCTTTGGAGCACATAATATGAAAAGCGAGCTTGAAGAATTTGATATTCATAGAACATATGGAAGGAAAGAAGGAAACAGCAAGCAACGCGTTTTTCTGAGAAGATGTCAGGACCGAGGAATTAATAATGGAATAAATGAAACTTCTCATAACTACAAAGTATACTAAGCTGTGGAGGTCCATGACACGAAGATAAATTGAACAGAAAGTGTTGTGCCCGAATTCAAAAGCCTTGAAATCTGCTGCCAAAAATATGAATATACTGATATAAAAAAAAAATGAAAAAAATATCTTTGATAAATCAATATTTGCTATGGCTGGTTTTAGATTTTATATTCCCAGTCAATGGAATGTTTGATTTCTCTTGGAATCTGCAGATTTATTTAAATTTCTGCAGTTGGTTCGTCATAGATCATGTATTTTCGTTTCAGTACATACCATAATTCATTATGTTAATCTCTTTTTAAATATTCGGCTTCTCCAAGGCCCGAGAGCCATTCGAGTCAAAGTGTTACAGTAAGAAGCTGTTCGTGCGGATAGGAGAGGAAAATAACGGTTAATAGACTTGAGCAGATTAAGATTGTAGTAATCGGGGAAATATCATCTTGGGAGTCGGTTCCATAGGACAGGCGTTTGCAAGAAGCTATTCGGGTGGAATTAATTATTTTAGATATGTATACAGATGTGTTTTCTCACTGGATTTACCCTTGGGGCAATCCTCAGTGAAATGAAAGTCCCAATACGATTTATTATTGGTGGTTACGTTCTTAAAAACTTAAAATATGCAGGTAATAACTTTGTTGATGTAAGAATAAAAAAAGACACCCACAGGACCTCCTAAACTATGTAGGGAAGGAAAACTGGAAGAAAGGACTTATTATTAAAGAAGGTAGAATATATGGTCTCCAGGAAGAGGAACAACCGAAAAAGGTATATAAATTGTTTAGCCATAGACTGAAGGAGAAATGTTTCCCAAATCTATGGAATGTGTCAGTTGTATGCCTTTTGCTAAGCCTCCTTATTATTATCAGCAAACTCTTTAATGCTAGCATCAACAAGGTTTCTGATCATCTCATCCGAACATCGTCCCCAGCGACAAACAGTATGACTTTCGCTCTGCTAGTACAACTGCTTATATCCTAAGTTTTACGCACAATTGTTGAAGTACTAGACCAAGGATGGCCAACCTGTGGCGCATGTGCCATAAGTGGCGCATTGGATGCTTACAAGTGGCGCATTGCATCCTTTTGATGAAAAGAAATTAAGCCACTTCTACTCCTTCATTTCAGTGATTTTATATTTATTGCACGTCCTTTGTGAAAGTGCTAAAAGGATATGCCCCCTGGTCATAAGCATATATTTTTTCAAATAAATAGATTTTATTATAACTTTAAAATATGTCCATATTACAACACGTACTGAAAGGAAGTGAATGTTTGTGTGGCGCATTTAAATTAATCGTACAAAATATTGGCGCATGGAATCAAAAAGGTTGGCCACCCATGTACTAGATAATACATACCTCACGGGAATGATCATCTTAGGTATCGCTAACGCTTTTGGCTACGTGTGGCATAGGGAGTTGCTTCAGAAACTTTCTAGCCATGGGATCTCTGTAAGAGTTTTCTCAATTATCAAGTTCATTCTATCATGTAGGTCCATGAATGACCAGTCTTATGAAGACCAAAGTGCCCACAAGTCTCGATTCTCTATCTTACCCTCTTTCTGCTTTATATTAATGATCTGACTATGGACAATCTATGCATATAATAAAACTGTATAACGGGATATCTCAAAACCAATTATGTCTGGCAGCTGATCTCTCCTCTGACTGAGCTCTAACAACTCAGTCTGGTAATAACTATCTTGGAAACCTCAGAAACCTTAACTAATAACGTTCCATCATCATCAAACTGGTCACGAATTGTCTTCTATTGCGATGAACTCAGACTCACCCAGGGGCTTATATATACGATCCATCGCTAAATATGCCGGGAAAATGAGCGGTGATTTACTGCTCCAGTAAGTATCTGACTCTTCCTGCTTATCCTGTAACCTTCAAACATTCAAGTGTCGACATCTGACATCATGAGCTTTTTTTCTCATCATTCTCTGTATTCTTTCCTCAAACATACCTCTTTACTCTTATTCTCAATTCTCTGTAAGCCCTTGCGTGCTAGTGACACTCCCGCCTTGGCTTGGGTAAATTGCATTAAAAAAAAAGCTTTACAAAAAGCAGATCAAACCAAAAATGTTTTTTTGATGCCTTATCTCTGACAGAGCTGGAAGTGCCCAGTATTCGTTTCCTAGTCTTGATAGAGTTCAAATCCATGCTATCACTTTCGCACAGATGAAACGCCACAAGCCTCTCGCTACGTTATCGCTATTTCTATGGAAAACGTCCTGACCAGCTGCATTCGTTATATCCATTAATTCTAAGATTCGCATCAAAGATCTGCAATACGACATAGATTGGAATTAACAATCTATATCCTCTTTCCTCTTTGATTAGCAAAGAAGAAGTTCCATTCTGGCAGCTTCTACCCAAGTACCGTTTTGTGGAACTCTCTACCTTTACATTGCTTTCCCATCACTAGAATTTAAACTTCTAAATTTAACCGTTAACTTTCCCGCATACCCTCATAAACTGTACTTCCTACCCCCTACACTTACCACTCATGCAACCATGTAATTCATTCACGATCTACCTTAAGTGCCTCTTGGGCCTTTACTGATTGTTTATTTAATTTATTAATGTCCACCCAATACAAGGCCCAAGGTAATATCTACAGTAAATCGACTCTTGTATATATTTTTGGCTTAGTCGTTAGTCGGGGTAGAATTGGATCGGCAAACAACATTTTCATATAAGCTCCTAAAACGAGGGGTTTACGACTGCGTCATATTGAAACACCGGTTCCCATACGATCACCGAAGTTAAGCAACGTCGATCCTGGTCAGTAAATATATGGGTGACAGCTTGGAAATGCCAGGTGCTGTAAGCTTGGATGTGCGTGTTGTGTAATGGATAGTGGCCCGGAATTGTTAAACGGAGACCCGAATTACAGTTCTCGTTTGGGTCGTTATATTCACTTACGCGCAAATAACTTTGGGAAAAATACCAATCTGCCTTTTTCCCCTAGATATGGTTTAATTAGTAAGTATTCTTTGTATATATCGATCTGGGTATCGTACAGGGAAATCTGAACTGAAAAGTTTATTTAATCTACGGTGGTAGACTGTCTCCGTTCCGCTGCTCATGTCTAGGGATATCCTTGGATCGCGCACTCAACGGAAAAAGGGGTAGCAATAACTAAACAATTATAAAAAGAAAAAAAAAAGAACTAGACGTTATCCTAAGATATGGGAAGTGGAACTAGAATAGTCTATCTCCATAGATTAAATAAAGTGTTCAGTTCAGAATTCCCCGTAGATTAACCAGATCGATGTAAACCTGATGAAGGCCGGACGGCACAACGGCTGAAACGTTGTGATAGCGATAAAAAAGATGGGGCAATAGTCTGAATATAAATTGTATATTTATATCGATTATTTGCTTTCCAAATGGATTATGTCAATTGATAATTTTTTCACCCGTTTTCTCAACCTACTCTCACGAATTGTCGCTTCACCAGGCACATTTCTGGGGTTAAAATCGATGTCGATAAAAGTAAATCTTTATTTGGCTAAGGAATCGATGACAGTCTTTTTGTTTTGTTTCAGCTTAATATCCACTGTTATTCTCATGAGTTATTTGCCTTTCCACACGAAGGAGTAGAATAAATACATCGAAATAGCGCTAAATGTTTACTGAATAAATCATATTAAGAAATATTTTGATAATTGTAGTCTTAAATCATGAGGCGTTATTAACAACATGGGCTATATGCATGTACATAATGTATAGAGTAACTCTTTTTCTGATCAAAATCGTCCCCACCAGTCAAAAGGGATTTGACAGATGTTTATAAAGATTCAGCAAATACTTCATTTGCTGAATCTTTATAAATATCTGTCAAATCCCTTTTGGAAAATCATTTCAGATATTCACGATCTTCCGTTTCATTAAAGATATACACAGATTTCACGTTGTTTAAATATTCCACGGGATCCTAAACTCGTGTTCTACCATTATTCCCCGATGAGCCAGATACCTAAGTGTGAACCTGTATTTCCTAAGCTTAGGCTAGTGTAGCATAAAGATAATACTGGGAGAACAGAATTAAGTTAGAAAGCCCTACTGCTAGATGAAGGTGTTAACAATTGTTATGTCATGTGTTACTCACCAGATACGTAACTGGTGTTTAGACAAAGGATTTGCCCAAAGCTATATTATGTGTCATATGGAGAACACCAAACATGTTCCTTTTTAGTAACAGACTGCTAGATTGGGTCACCACTTATTGCTCTTACATGGAATGTTAAACAATGTATGATATCCTACTGGAGCTGGTTTTTAGATCAATAATTGAAAATGGCTTAAAACGAATGAATCCTTTAGTCTTTGACAAAGACAATACCCTATCAGATGCAATAGGCTGGGGTTACAAAATCACAAAAGACCTTAAGAAAAACCACATCAGTTGAACATTTCCAGCAACGACTAAAATAGGTCGTACATGTAACTTGAAGAGAAAATACTTATATAACCAAGCTGTTAACTTTCCACACAATCTTAAACAAAAGGCTTGAAAGGAAATTCCAATCAGTACTAGAAAGAACAACAGTTAGTTAATCCCCGGGAACCTATTAACCGATCAAGGAATGTTGATAGTTTCCTGGATGGAAATGAGTAACCTCACCATTAAGTTACACATACTATTAGATTAACGATACGCATGGCTACATGGGGGAGCACGTCGTGGAGAAAGAGCCTATCATTCAGTAATAAGAGACTGTTAGGCTAGAGTACTTACCATTAGTCTTCCAAGAGGCAGCAACTAACAGAAAATAATGAAATAATAGACTAGCCCAGAAACCATAAAAATATGTCCACAAATACCGAAATGAACAGCTATTAAGCGAGTTTTGTCTGGATCAATTGGTGTACAAAATGATGCTCAAAATCTTCATTTCGTAGAAGCGGACGTCTAAATTGGCTTTATAGCTGCTACCCCACCACAAGGCACTCACCATTTTCTGTATATCTTCCTTCCGCAGGTCAACGCCAGTTTAATGCGGCACTGACATAAAAGAATTAAGTAAAGATCATGAAACTGTAAAATCTTTATAAATAGTACACAATACCACGATGGCTAGCAGTGATTTTTAGAGCCTTTGTTTTCGACATGTAAACATGATTTCATCTCAGATTATAAATGACTTTTGCGCATGTCTACTTTAAACTGGAAAGATGCAGACGACCGAGCGAGACAGTTATGGAAAGACGAAAGAGTCACAAATAGACAGCGATATAAAAGCATGTGAGGTGCAAATTCAATCAATTATATGTTAAGAATGAAAAATGGCGTCCCTGTTGACAACGACTTCGCTGAATTAATGGGCCGGGAAGAGACGGACTTGCTGTTACTAACTGCCAATATTCCGTTGCAGTGAAGGGTGTAATGGTTTTTCTCTCGGAGAAAAATAATTTTAAGCGAGTTACTGAAGTACCATATCTACATGCGGGCAATTTATGAAAAGTAAGGTACAAACATCGACTAATCCAACATGATTATTACTACGCAAATAAATAAAAGTCATATTGCAAGTTTCCACGTTTGTTGTTTGTTCGCTTAACGCCATTGTAACGACAAAAATACGCAGTTGTAGGCTTTAAGAAAGCTTTATTCAACTGAGAAAACAAGGTTCGCGTATAGTGTCCTTTTATAGTCCCAGTAAACAGAAATAGCTCTCCCAAAGAGGAGAGTAACGAAACAAAGGGAGTCCACTCTTGATTATTTATAACATGCATATCAACAACTTATAGCTCATTTAATTTTCCTGGGAGCATTAGTAATTTCTTTTGCAAATATCTATTAATTTTGTTGTTGCTGTTGTTATCATTATTATTATTATTATTATTATTATTACAAAAATATATTCCTGGTAATATTGTTCTTTTTCAAGACTGCATTGCTGGTAATATTTATTTTATTTATTTTTTTACAAATTCTATTGCTGGTAATTGTTTTACTTTGAAAATGTATTCCTGGTATTTTTAATATAAAAATGTATTTTGATACTTAGTGTTTTGACCACGGTTTAGGGGATTGAATATTTGCAAATATTTGGGACACAAACAGCTGCAACCACCACGGGTCAGGGTGGACGTGGGAACAACAGTAATTCAACGCTCCTCAAAATCACCAGACCAGAAGCCTTGCTGCCGGATATAGTTTATCGTCATACCCACGACACCAATTTCCATGTAGTTAGCCTCGACATAGATGCATATGACTCGTCGCTTCATATCTTGAAGGACGTGCCGAGAAGCTAATGAAGGAAGCCACGTTTGTATCTTTGAAACAACTCCGTCAAATGTGCAGAACTGCTTCCGGGATAAACAACGTCTGAGAGGCACAAACAGATATTGGAAAAGGAAAAGATTTTACTTTAACTTTCGTCCATTTCTCGTACATCCACAAAAGTGTGACGTCACCTGCGGTAGCCTATTTATCTCGCCTCCCGAGCAAAATTATTCATTAGTGTAAAGAGCCTAATCCAGTGGAATGGGATTCGTATAGATGATCCATCGGTAAAGACGCTGAGTAAATGAACGCTCACTTTTACCACTCCGGAAAGTACCTGTCACATTCTTCCATGACCCAGATTAAACTTAATACGGTGTATAACTACCGTATCTTGGCAGAAGCTGCCTAATAATCCCGTTACAGTGTTTTAAACGTCCTTATAGGTGCTGAAGGTTTATCCACTTGTCTCCACAGACAAAACTGATAATCCCCCCCTATTTTATCGCTATTCACATGGCAAATGTTTAAACAAGCTACAGTGCTTATTTTTAATAATCCCTCCCGTTACAGCTAGGACCAGCCATATGCCGTACACAGGATCGACTTCTTCCAATCTTATTCCATTAGGAACGAAATAGGAATTTCCACTAAGTCAGCCTGTGAATTTATGGAAGAACCTCCAGAGAGAGCTTCCCCGATCAATACTATCTTAATATCTTTATGCCTAGGTTCAACCGTTATCTATTCTACATATCTTCATATTATGACTGCCTCCTTTTACTCACTGAAAACAACTTCATTCAGTAAAGATCTACTTTGAGTGGCTCTTGAGCCTTGTATTAATTGGACAAACGTATATAAAAAGATAACAGCTTGAATAAAATAGAAACAAGGAAAGTATAATTAGAAGTAAGCAACGCTGAATTTATTAGTTCTATATTTTGAATATATGACCATATTTTTAGAAGTCCTGGTATCACTTAATGTTTAGGGTTATAGAATAAATGTCATAGTTTATGCGGATATGTGGGGAAGATAAGGATTAATCCTAGACTTGAACAGGTTAAGATTGTAGTGATCTGGAAAATATGCTCTTGGGAGTCGATTCCAAAATGATAGTTTAGCGAGAGCTACCCGAGTAGAACTTACATCTCACGGAGGGGATGAGGATGGTTCGCTACAATACGCGTTTCATGGGGTGTCCTGGCCGTGACGGTCAGAACTGTTGAAAGTAATGAATGTAGTTCGCCTGAGCACTTTTTTATGGAAATAGCGATAGAGCAGTTGGAGGCTTCTAACATATCGTCTGCGAGAGAGGGGTTGCAGGAGGGAAAATATTTTGTCACTCACAAGGACGCGGAAACGCTTTTGGAATCTGTCGTGCCTGGAAAGTGAGTACTGGGAAGCTCCTGCCCAAATATAGCCACAATACTCCACTTTAGGCCTGATCTCTTGTAAAGATAGCAGGAATCAGGTACTTACTGCAGCGGTACAGAGAACCGACTATTTCTCCAGAATCTTTAGAGACGGATAGTATATACAAGTTCTTCTTTAGGTCTGGGTTGAGTTTAAGCCCCAATAATAGATCAA